CGTTTCCCCTCCTTGATGCTACATTCTGATCCCCATCCCCCCTCGAAATCAGTTTAAACGCTTCCCCACAGCATTTGTTATCCTTGTTGCAATGACATTGGTCCCAGCCCTGCTCAATTGTAACCCATCCCTCATGAACAGGTCCCATCTGCCCCAGAAGTGGTCCCAATGGTTTAGAAATCTGAAGCCCTCCTTCCTGCACATTTCTCCAGCCAGGCACCACCATTGAGGTCTTGCTCTTTAGCTTCTTCCCAAGCTTCTCATATTCTCCCTGTAGGGTCTCAGCCCTTTTATCACCTACATCATGGATCCCGACGTGGACCACAACTTCCGGATTTTCCCCTTCCCCCTGTAGTATATTTTGCACCCGTTCCGTGACGTCATGCACCCTGGCCCCAGGGAGGCAGCATACCATGCGCGAGTCCCGTCTTTTATGGCAGAAACGCCTGTCTATCCCTTTAACTATTTGGCATTTTTCCCCTTATCCACCTGAACATCCTTTTGACTCTTCTCACCAGAGGCGTCCTCACCGGTATCCAGTACCGAGAACCAGTTTGTAAGTGCCACACTCTTAGGGGATTTCTGTACAGCCTGTTCTTTTTTTGCTCTACGTCAGATAGTCACCCACTCACCTTTCTTCTGAGCCCTCTGTGTAGCTGGGGTGACCACCTCCTGAAAAGTCCGATCCATAAATTCTTCAGCCTCCCGTATCCTATCTAGTGACTGTAGCCTCTCCTCAAGCTCAGTGACCCTGAGTTCAAGCTCAAGCAGTCTGAGGCACTTCCTACACATGTGTTTGTCCAGAACACACGAACCATCCTGGAGTTCCCACATGGCACACAGTGTGCATGGAATGGGTCTCAGCTGCCCTGCCAGGTTTTCAGACATGTTTTGTCTCAACAGTTTTGGGATAAATAGATAAAAACATGTAATTTCACACCTTTTATTTCCTTGCTCACACTCCTTATATAATAAATGCCTACTCAACACCTACCAACACAGGAATGTGACCTTTACAGTCAATTTACTTCACAGTATATTCTGTGAAGTGCTTTGAGATGTCTTGAAGACATGATAAAGCATTATATCAAATGCAAGGATTATTATTATTATCCACGAAATGAGGAGGGGTACTGAGCTGTGGGTGAATTTTCTTGAAGTGAACAAATCTTTGAAGCTGTAAATGTTCTATAAATGTTAATTGTATTACACAAATTGAGGTTAATACAATTCACATTTATATGATACCTTTCACATCAGAAGGACATCTCAAAGCGTTTCATAGTCTGGATAGGCAGCCATCCTTTATACTATGATTTTACGACATAGTAATGAAGCAAAATATTTTTACAAATACTGGTTTAACAGTTAGTTTTAAAGACAAAGAAGCAACTGTGTATTCACAAAGACTGTACAGTATGAAAGCAGGTCACTGGCCTAACCATTGTATATAATCCAAACGAGTCCTTACCCACTCCTTACTCCCTCTCATAGCCTTCTATTCCTCTCTCCCTCATGTGAAGGTCTAGCCTCCTTTTGAATGCATCTGCACTATCTGATTCAACCACCACTTCAGGCAGCGAGTTCCACAATCTCATTGATCTCTCCGTGAAGTAGTTCCTCCTAAATTCTCGCGAATGATCTCCAAGATGATTTTTGTAGGATGATTCTGAACTCACAACCTAGGCTGGTATTAGGCTGGGGTAGCACTGCAGTGTCAGAGGTGCCTTTCTTTGGATGAAACATTAAACCAAGGTGCTGTCTGCCTGTTCAGATTGACATCATGGCCTTACTCGAAAAGAGAATTTCTACCTCCCCTTTTCTATTTCTGTGTCCTGGCTAATGATCCCCCAAATACAACAACAACAAAGTTACATTTGTATAGTGCCTTTCACGTCAGGAGGACATCCCAAGGTGCTGAACAGTTGGGAATCAGCACCCGATGATGAGGGGACAGGGTTGGGATGAGGGAGGGTAGAAGGCATGATTGAAAAGGAGGGTCTTGAGTCGTGCTTTGAAGGAGGCAAGGGAGAGAGCAAGATGAAGGGAGTTTGGGATAGAGTTCCAAAGAGTGGGGGCAGCACGGAGACCCTATTGGAGGGGCTCATGAAGGGAGTGATAGGAGAGGAAGGAGTGAAGCTGGGAAGCAACGAGTCTTTCAAGGACCTTGGAAAGAAAAGGGAGGTTGGAGATGGGCCTGTAGTTAGAAAACAGGATGGGTCCAGGGAAGGTTTTTTCAGGATGGGGGTGATTCTAGCTGTTTTTAGGAGGAACGGTGTGAGGTGATAGGGAGAGATTAATAGAATAGAGGGGCGAGGAGGTGGAGCTGGGAGGTAAGGAGAGGGGTGGGGATAGGGTCAAGTGGGCAGATGGTATGTTTCTCTCCTCGCCGGCCTTCCCGCCACCTCCCTCCACAAGCTGCAGGTCCTTCAGAACTCTGCAGCTCGTGTACTGTCCCGCACCAGGCTTCGGGACCACATCACTCCCACCCTCGCTCGCCTCCACTGGCTCCCCATCCCCCAGAGGATTGATTTCAAGATCCTCATCCTCATCTACAAGGCCATTCACGGCCTTGCTCCCTCCTACCTCTCCGACCTACTATCCCCCTACCTACCTGCCCGTACCCTCCGTTCCTCTGGCTCCGGTCTGCTCCACGTCCCCCGCCCCAACCGCCCTACCATCGGTGGTCGGGCCTTCAGCCTCTCAGCCCCCAGGCTCTGGAACTCCATCCCCCAGTGCCTTCGCCTTGCTTCCTCCCTTTCCTCCTTCAAGGCCGGTCTCAAAACCTTTCTCTTTGACCGAGCCTTCAGCTCCCCTCTCGACTCTCTTCCCCCTCCTCGCTCCCTCCCTTCCCTCCCTCACCCTGACAATTTCCCCCCTCCTCGCTCCCTCCCTTCCCTCCCCTCACCCTGACCATTTCCCCCCTCCTCGCTCCCTCCCTTCCCTCCCCTCACCCTGACCATTTCCCCCCTGCTCGGGTCATGATCCAACTGTGCAGCGCCTTGGGACGTCCTCCTGACGTGAAAGGCGCTTTATAAATGGAATCTTGTTGTTGTTGTTGTTGTTTCATGCTGGATATAGTGGTGATGAGAGAGAAAGAGGAGACAGGTTCGAAGATGTGGAGGGAAGGATGGGTAGGGGTTGGAGTGTGAGGGGGAGATGGTAAGGGAGTGGCACTTGGGAGAGCAGAGGCAGTTGAATGGATCCATTAAATTTTGGAATCAAGGAAATCCAGCAGCTCTTCACAGTCAGAGTTTGAGGAGAGAATGGACGAGGCAAGGGAGGGTGGGCGGAGGAGCCAGTTGGTGGTGGAGAATAGGAACCTGGGGTTGTCTCCCCGCAATCCCTAGAGAGGGATTGTGGGGAGATTTTTTTTCTGGGGGTGATAGGTGACGGAGGTGGGTTTGATGGCGGTGGGGAGTGGGATTGAGTCGCTAAAGCAGATGAAATGGTGATTGGAGATGGCTTTGTTTGTGATTGTGATATCCAAGACACTGAGGCCCCAGTTAATCACCAGGTTGAGTGGGTATCCATAAATGTGGGTAGCAGAGTGGATGTGGAGGGAGAGGTTGTGAGAGGAGAGAGGAAAAGTCTGAGAGGATAGAGCAGGAGGGGATGAAGTGAAGATTGAAGTCTCTGAGGATGATGAGGTGTTCAGAACAGAGGCAGAGGGAAGCTTGGAGGGTGGAGACGTCAGAGATGAGGTGAGGGTAGTTTTGGGGGTGGGCAGTAAATGAGGATAATTTTGAGGGAAAGATTGGAGGGATGGTAGAGTTTAAGTTGCTCGAATGAGGGGAATGAGCCAGAGGAGTAAGGGAATAGAGCAGGTCACATCCTGGAGATGAGGGCCGCACACTGCCATGGCGGTTGGGACTTAAGGTATGGTGGGAAGTATAGCCAGCTGGTGTGGCCTCAGTGAGGGGGAACGTGTCACCTGAGGTGATCCAGGTTTCAGTAAGAGCCATAATGTTGATATTTTCATCAACGATGAGGTCAAATGATGGTCAAATAAAATTGGTCACCCACTCCATTGCTGTTTGCGGCACATTGCTGTGCATCACATTCATCTACAAAATTCAATGTAAGGAAACTTTACTTTTATTTAATAATGAAGTAGTGTGTGCACCCTACTGTTGAATAATTGTTTCCTTTATTATAGTTCCATAGTTAATGATTTTTCAAAGAGCAAAGACCCACTATCACAAGGCATGATAATAGGAGCAGCCAGGTTATCAAGAAATAAGTATTGATCAGTTACCAATAATATTTGCCAGATATATCTGATGAAAGTTCATCTACTTGAAATGTTAACTCACTTTCTTCCCTTCTTAGATGCCTTCTGACCTGCTGAGGTTTTCCAGCGACTTCTGTTTTTATTTTAGAATTTGCAGCATCTGCAGTATTTTTCCCTTTTGATCAATTACCATATTTCCCGGGAAAGAAGCAGACAGCTGGGAGTTGTCTGATCTGCATATCATTGTTCCTGACTGAACTATCTATTTTCATAACTGATTGGTTACTGTGTAAAGTCCAAACCAATCAAATAATAATGCCTGCATTTGATATAGCACCTTATCACATCTTTGAGACATCTCAAAGTGCTTCACAAAATATACTGTAAAGTGAATTGGTTATTTATTTTGTGGGTGAAATGTGGCAGTCAATTCCACACTGCAGTGTCACACAAACAGTCGCTTTTTTAAAGAATTTTTTATAAGGAATTATTACCTGGGAAAAGCGATCCGCCAATCCAATAACAACCGGGTTCTTACTTACTGCTAGGTATGTGGAGGGACCAGGGCTCCCTCTGCCTTCTTGTTCTCCTAGACCTCTCCACTGCGTTCAACACAGTCAACCACACCATCCTTCTCAACTACCTCTCCTCCCTCATCCAGCTTTGTGGGACTTCATCCTGGTCTCCTGCTTGCGATCTACAGGACTCCATGTTGGTGGTCTTTGTGTTTAAAGCTCATAGGCCAAATACTGTAGAGCATATTTACCAGCAATGTTCAGACTGCAAGATGTCCACGTGATGGATGGCAACTAAAACGTATCTCCAAAGTGTTTTTCCAAATTCTCCTTAGCAGAAGGCCATTCCTTGTAAACAAAGTCAAGGTCACAATGTTTTTTGAAGTTAATATTTTATGATACAACATTCACTCCACATTGTTTTTTTCTTTCTTGGCACCAATTACTGCCCCAGTTGAGATCATCTCATTCAGGACAAAATTGAGACATTTCTGCATTATAAGTCTAGGTACAAGAATCAACAGTGCCTTTACTGAGTGAGGCATCAGAGAGCTGGGCGTAGTCTCAATGGGACTATTGAGTAAGGGTTTAATGATGCTAGGTTTGGTTTCCATATTGTGACATTCTTGATCTGGGGAATATTCTGCTGGGCTTCAAACTATTTGAGGGAAAGCCTAGGAACACTTATTTTTATTTTATTTTTCCGAGTGGAATTCTTATGGAAACCAAAACCACGAGGGATGTCGTAATGATAAATAAAGGGTTTTAGTCAGTCAGGAGTAACAAATCTGCCAATCTTAGAGGAAGTTAATGTGGCAATGACAGGTTTTTTTTTGGTAAGCCGGGTGTCTGACACATGGGCGGAAACCCATTACCATGCTTATTAGTCTCCAAACCAAACTGAGAATTCCATGCGTAATAATAATAATAATCCTTGCATTTGATATAGCGCTTTTCACGTCGGGAGGACGTCCCAAAGCGCTTCACAGAATATACTGTAAAGTGAATTGACTGTATATTTGTGGGCGAACGCGGCAGCCAATTGCGCACAGCAATGTCCCACAAACAGTCGTGGATTGAAAATGACCAATTTATTATTGTTTTTGGTTTTGGAGGGATTATTAATTAGGCTCTGTGTGGAGTAAGGAAACTTGCCCAAGGTTTCGCCCTCTGCCTGGAATTGAACTCAGGTCTCTCGCTTGCAAAGCGAGTGCTCTAACCACTGAGCTACAGGACTCCACATATGATGGATGATGGATGATGGAGATTCCAGATGTAGATTGTTGGAATAGAATGTGCACTTTCTCCCTGGAGGGATGCATCCTGATTTCCTAATTTTAGAAAGTATTAGGCGCAGGTTAGCAAGAGCCAAGGTTTGGGGACCCGAAAGTGGGCGTTAGGGGTAATTACTGGAATCTAACCAGCTAAATCCGCACAGCTTGCCATCGATAGCACTATCTGGCTTGCTTTCCCACTGCTTGTCCAGCTAGGACCACCTTACTAATTGGGTTTTGGTTTGCATGTCCCCCACCCTACACACCTTTGCCTCCATTGCTCCCTCCTCTCTTTCCCCCACCCTTACCCAGATGAAACACACCACCTGCTGCCTCGACCCTCTCCCCTTCCTCTAGTCACTGACACAATCAACCAGTCCCTCTCCTCAGGCTCTGTTGCACTCCCCCTCAAATCCACTGTCATTATTCCTTAAAAAACCTACCCTTGATCCCTCCAATCTCACAAACTTCAGACCCATCTCAAACCTGCCCTTCCTGGCCAAAGTTTTGGAATGTGTTGCTGCAAATCAACTTCACTCACAATCCTCCCTCCACCCTCTACTCGAACCCTTCCAGGCCAGTTTTCACCCAGCCCACAGAGGCAATGCTTCTTAAAGTAACAATGACGTCTTCTCTCTCTCTGACTAGGGCTCCCTCTGCCTTCTTGTTCTACTGGACCTCTCTGCCACGTTCAATGCAGTTAACCACGCCATCCTCCTCCACCACCTCTCCTTCTTCATCCAGCTTCATGGGACTGCACTCGCATGGTTTGAGTCCTACTTGACAACTTGCCAACAATACATTTCAGCAAATAATTTTTCCTCACTCCCCCGTCTGGTCACCTGCGGGGCACCCCAAGAAGGGGCCCTTGGCCTTGGCCCCTTCTTTTCCTTATCTACATGTTCCCTCTCAGCGATGTAATCTGCAGACATGGGGTCAACTTCGTCATGTATGTGGATGACACCCAAATCTACTTCTCTTCCGCTATCTGCGACACCCAGCCCGCTGATGTCATGTCAGTTTGTTTGACGAATATCAAGGCCTGAATGAGAGCAAATTTTCTGCAGCTGCATGTCAGCAAGACTGCAGCCATACTCTTTGGCACCCATCAATGACTTGTCTCCTGCGGGTCTGAACTCCTTAACCTCCTCCCCAGGCTCTCCCTCAGACTCACCAAACTTAGGCATCAGATTTGACCTCCAGCCTTCCTTTCTACCCCACATCCGTTCCCTGATCAGGACTCCTTTTTTCCACCTCCATCATGTTGTCCACCTCCATCCATACCTCACAACCTGCACAGCCGAAATCCCTGTCTACATCTTCATCACTTCCTGGCTGGACTGTTCCAATGCCCTTATCGCTGGTCTTCTCAGCTCCATCATGCACAAAATTCAACCAGTTCAAAACTCTGCCACCTGGATACTCATTTGCACAAAATTCCGTACCCCCATCACATCAGTCCTTGCCAGCCTCCACTCGCTCCCAATTAATGAATGGATCTATTTCAAGATCCTCTCATTCGTTTTCAAATCCTTCATGCCCTCGTACCTCCCCACTTATCCGATTTGAATGCCTCCCCAACAGCTCCTCAGCTCGGCTGGCTCTGGCCTCCTGCTTGTCCCTATGCCCCCTGCTCCACTATCGGTGGCTGGATCTTCAGCCACTACACCCTGAAACTCTTGAACTCTCTTTCAATCTCTCCTCCTTGCCCCATCTCTCCCCACTTTCAAATCCTGCCTAAACACCTTCCTTTTTGATCGTGCTTATGGTCATCTCCCCCCTCCCTCTCCCCCTGGCTTGGTGTCACTGTCAAGTGCTCCAGTATGCTACCCAGGTGTAGGGTGCTGTATAAATGCAAGCTGTTGCTGTTGGCATCATTAACAGGAGCTAGTGGGATGATTCCCCGCTCCCAGACTGCCCTTCCACGTTCTGCTGATGAGTCAGGCAGTCATCAGCAGTGCCCTGGAATACTATGGATTCAGTTGGTTCTTCCTCCACCTCTTCCACAACATTGGCCAACTTTACTTGTTGTGAACTGTGTTGAATATACGTAAGTATTACTTTTGATTGATTAACTGACTGTAACTTGGATAACCTTGCTAATTTGTATTAATAAATATCGATTAATTAAAGAATTTGAGTCAGTCCATTACTTCACTGCAGGGTCAGATATTAAATAACCCTTAGAGTGGGTTATTGCTGCACGTAAATTGGCTGCTACGTTTGTCTACAAAATACAGTCACTGCACTTTACAGAAATTCCTGTGAAGTATTTCGAGACATCCTCCAGATGATAAAGACGCTATATGAAGTGCAATGATTACTATTATTATAATCATCTGATCTGACAGAAAATCCATGCTACACATTACATCAATGCCACTCCTATGCCTCTTAATTTAAAATTTCTCAAAGTCTGACGAGAGAGGGGTGAGCAATACGTTCAGATGAAGGTTTCACAAGAAAGGTTTGGATGAAGAAAGGCCTCAGCCAATTTGATCTCATCTTCCAGATTCCCAATAACTTAGCCAACTGTCTTCTTATTACAGCATCAAGAGGTTTCTTAAATGAGTGGTTCAGGATCCTGGCAACCTATGCCAGCTACTACTTACCTTCTGTGTGAAGAAATATTTCCTGGGGTCAAAACTTCCTTTGGCTGTGCCCTCTCTTGTTCTGCTGCCTTGTCTATCTGAAAGCATTGTTTCTCAATTCCATTTAGCATCTTATAAACCTCTGCAAGTTCTCCTCCGAGACTTCTCTTTTCCAGTCTTCAAGAATCCCAGATGGAAAGACTCCCAAGATTTCAGCAATAGGTGTGTGATACAAATTTTGAAGCGGAAAGATAAATGCACAAAAGCGTCATTGTGCCAGTTATGAATGCAAATGTTTAATTCATCCTTATCTGTTTAACCTTTGGCACGAGAGAACATCTATTTAATTTTCCCAGTGTTTTGTGGTTTAATTTCCCCAAGCTATCGGCATTGGCACCAATAAGAGGTAAGTTGGAATAAAGGATTGCGCATTAGTTTTCACAATCTGATGACACAGAACAATTATTTTCATTCATTTCCTAAAATTTATAATGAGGTATTACAGTATAATCAAAATGAAAGTACATTATTATTAATAATAATAATCATTGGATTTAATGTAGCACTGTTATAACATCATTGAGATGTCTCAAACTGCTTTGCAGAATATACTGCAAAGTGAATCCACTGTATATTTTGTAGGTGAACAGACAATTGTGCACAGCAATGTCCCACCAACAGTCATGGATTGAGTGACAATTATTTTTTGAGGGTTTATTACCAATCGACTAACAACCGGGTTCCTACTTCCTGCTAGGTAAACAGAGGTATGTGGAGCACAGAACCTTGCCTAAAGTTATAATAATATAATAATAATAATCCTTGCATTTGATATAGCGCTTTTCACGTCTTCTAGACGTGTGATGCGCTTCACAGAATATACTGTAAAGTGAATTGATTATATATTTTTGGGCGAAATATAGATTTCACTTTGCCCAGGAATGGAATCCGGGTCCTCTTGCTTGCGAGGTGAGTGCTCCAACCAATAATCTGCAGGACACCACTAATATTATAAAAATAAAAGTTTTCACTTGATTAAAAGTAGCCTACAGAAATATTTTACGAAAAGGTGCTGGAGGATTTCAGATGCAGTGACTTCAGAAGTCAGAAAATCAACTGGGATAAAACACATTTGTCATGGGGAGTTTTATTTTGTTGTGCACGCAGAACAGCAACTGAACTGCACAAATTACAGATTGAAAATAACTTGGAAGAGATAATGTGCTGGATATTTGAAAACACTTTTCATTAAAAAATAGAGATGACTGATGTGTGTGTCTATCACCTCTGATCTTTAGGTCATAAATTATGTCTGAGCCTTCAACATCAATTACTTCCAATTAAGTACAGTGATGATCAATATGGAATGTTTCATTAACTTGGCTTGCCTTGTCTTGCCTGCTGGTTTCCCCACTCTCCTTTCTCCCTCACTGCGAAAAGAGCCAGGAGCTTATTTTGGATTTGGTTTAGTTTATGTTGAGGC